TGTTGTGTCCACTGAAAACTGAAAAATAAATATTAAAAAAATTCTTTCTCTCTCTCAAAAAAAAGAAACTATGTTACTGTTTAAGTTGTTTGAGGTGGGGACATAGATGGACAAAATTGTTTGTGCTGAGGGTCTGTAGTTTTCATAGAACAAGTTTTAACTCAGGAATCTGGCTATAGTTCTGTCGAGGAGAGAACCTTTATCAGTTCCTATGCAGCAAGTGAGATCATACATTATTTTTGACCTTCATAACAAGAAAGTTCTTATTTAAATGCTGCTTTTCTTTTCTTTTTTGTTTTGGTACTGAGGATTGAACTCAGAGGTACTCGACCACTGAGCCAAATCTCCAATCCTATTTTGTATTTTATTTAGAGACAGGGTCTCACTGAGTTGTTTAGTGCCTTGCTTTTTGCTAAGGTTGGCTTTGATCTCATGATCCTCCTATCTCAGCCTCCTGAGCCCCTGGGATTACAGTTGTGCGCTACTGCGCCTGGCTCAATGCTGCTTTTCTTGTTGTCTAGAGGGCAGGTGTATGTGATACCCAGAGCTGTAGCAATTGCCTTGAGATCATGAGAGAACAAACCAAAAAGTGTATTGAATAGCCAATTACATCAGGGATGGTAATATGGAAAGCTAGAAAAAGGGTTGAACTTTAAAGACATCACCATGTCTCAATCTGTTAAATACAGTAATTAAGTGGGCCAACCAACTAACAAAGAAAAGACATGAAAGACCATTAGATTGAAATAGTTCTAATGCCCTAGATTCCGATATAAACCCAAATCTGACTGAGATGTAAAAGAACATGAGGACTGGACATTGGCTAGTGGTTAACAAGAGCATGTGCAAGCCCCTGGGGAGATTACCAGCAAAACATGTGCATGCGTGTGGGTGCCACACACACACACACACACACACACACACACACACACACTTTAAAAGAAAATGAAACTCAGGCTAGCCAATGACAGGTGGTCAACTGGGCTTTAGTTGTATTTCCTTGAACTTCCCATGGAAACAGTTCAAATAAGGCTTTTTTTTTGTGGTTCAAATTCAATTTTGTTGCTTTGCTTTTGAGAAACTGATGTGACTCCATTTTTGAAAATAAATAAATAACAGCAGCTTCTACCTCAAGGCCTGTCCTAAGGAAGGGGGCGTGACCCTTGTCCTTAGAAAAACCCACAGAGCCTTTCTAGGCAGATACCCACCCTGCTGAGTTGTTTGTCTGTAAATAACAGGAGAGATCTGCAGCACCAGGTGTTCCTGACTCAGTTAGGCTAGGTGAAGACCCATAGCAACCCACCTGGCAACCACCAATCAGCATGAGACAGGGAAAATACCAGGGATGCCAGATGACCCCTCAGTAGTTTATGGTGGTTGATAACACGTTGGGAAACCATGTAGTTTAGCACGTACACCCCTCATGGCCTAAACCAATCAGTTCAAAGGAATCCCCCTCTTGTACTAACCAATCACCCCTACCCAACTTGTTCCCGCCAGTGAATGTGTTAATCAATGTTAAGAGTTATTTGATTTTCCTGCCRTATGGAATGATTTGCTGTGTGATATTGTGACGCATAGAGTATCCCCCCAAAACCTATAAAATCTCACTGGACAGAAGACCGGGACTCACTCCTCGGGACAGCTGCATCGGAAACGGTTGTTACTCCAGGCTCAAGCTTGTAATAAAGACTCTTGTGTGATTGCATCGGATTCGGTTCCTGGAGGTCTATTGGGGCCCCACGAATCTGGCATTACACTTTCATGTTCACCCTATAAAAGCTACCTCCTGGTACTCTTTCCAAGTAGAGAACAAAAGGAATTCCAGTTGCATCCTGCCCCACTCATGAATCCCTGCTCAAATAAAGTTAGTTCCTTAAAAACTTTACCAGTTTATTTTAACAGTTCCATGCTTGGAAACATCTATTTCTAGCCCACACATCTTTTTTTTTTTTTAAGTTTTAAGTTTATAATTGTTTAATGTAGAGTAAAATTGCAAGTGTAATACAGAGAATTAAAGTATACCTCTAACTTGGCTTCTTCTATTAATATCTTACCACTATTGTTACTGGTAATCCAGTTTTATTCCTCTGTTATGCGTTCCCACCAGAGAAGACTTAAGGCAAGACTTGAAAAGTAGCAAAAATAGCTGGGTACTCAGGAGGCTGAAGGAGGCAGGAGGATCGCAATTCAAAGCCAGAGTCAGCAACTTTGTGGGATACTGTCACAAAACAAAAGGGGAAAGGGCTGGGGATATATAGCTCAGTGGTAAAGCACCCCTGGGTTCTAACCCCAGTACAAAAAAAAAAAATAAAGTATAGCAAAGTTTATTTAAAAATTTAAGAATACACTCTCAGAGCAGCGTATGTTGGATCAGAGAGGAGATCCACCCTGGATTTCAGTCAGGAGACACAGAGCCCATAGGGTAAATAAGCACAACAGTTTTATCTTACAATACAAAAAGTACAGTCCAGAGAACATGGAGTGATTGATCTGTCTCAAGAGAGCAGGAAGCCCTGGATTTGGGTTGTCTGTTTTCCTGTTCAATCTGGTTTGAGTTTGGTTCCTCCCCTGTCCCTATGCCACAAGATTGGCAAGTGATTGACAGGCAAAGAGCTCATATGCTGCCCCAGGAAACTCTGTAACTGAGCAAAGGTTGGTCTCTGTCCCCAGTGCCAATCAATGCCAATTTAATAATGAGGACATGGTTTTGAGAAAAAGGTAAATGTTTATTGCTTTACTAGCAAAGGAGAAACACAGGGGAMTATCCCAAAGGCTGTGACTCTCCAGATCAGGAGGGACAGGGAGTTAGTTTTAAAGGAAATTCAAGGGTTACTTTCCAGGTGTGTTCTGGTAAGGAGTCCCAGGGTGCCCTGATGGTGTGTTAGGATTAATTTGTTGATTTAGGAGATATTCATTTCCCAGATCCTCAGCAGGCATCTCCTTCCTGAAAATGGGGCCCAAAGCTGGGTGCCAGTAGGAGTGGATGTATCTT